AAAAAGAAGCATATCTCCATCTCCCATATCATTTATATGCTTTTTAATATGCAAATGTGGGGAAAGACCTAAATTGACAACCTGTTTTTTTAAGCTTGACATTGCTGAAGACCATTTTATTCACATGTGTTATGCTATTTGAAACTTATATTTCCATTAAAAGTACATTTATAACATGTAAAAGGTTTTTTTATAACTTAGCAACTTCAGAAAATTGTGGTAAGTGAAAAATATTAGATTTCATATAAGGCCTCACTTCATTTGAAAACCTCTATTTTTTGTCACAGGCCCATATGAAATTTACTTCTGGCCATTTTTTATAAGTCTGAAACATGAAGTATGCTATCTGTTGCTTTTAATAGGTGATAACTTATACATAGAGACATTAAAAAGTGTAAGTTTTGGTATATTTTGGTTTTTGGAAGCCCAAATTTGATAGTTGAAATTATTCTAATTCAACGCCACAATTCAGCAACCAAAGTTCAGATATAAAAAATGCCACAATTTTTATAATTGGTATCATATGGCTTTGAAACTTTGTAAACTGTTTCATAATACACTAAGCTTAAATCATGCCAAGTTTTATTAGAATTGGTCAAGGTTTAGACCACTAAGAGGTGAAATTCAGGAAATATTGAATTTGTACTTTGACAACTTCCCTGAATGATCTATTGGTATTAATTTGTCAAACTACATGAGAATAAATGATTTCCACTTTTATTTGATAGAAATTTTGTAAAAAGTGACATTTCAGCCTTTATGCCCAAAATGGAACTTTTTCAGTTGTTTCAATATTTTTACAAAAGTAGCATGCTTACTTTCTCTCTGACAGGTTTTTCTGATTTTCTACTTGTGTTTGTGGTATCTAATGTAGATGTTTAACTCATTTTTGAACACTAAACATACAAAAAAAGTAGATAAAATCAGAATAAGAGTGCAAAATGTGCTGCTTTAATGGTCCTAGTCTAAAGGTCAGTATGAAGCAAGTGAAAAATGAGGTTCTATGCACATACAAGTTGAATTCCTTTTAGCAGATTTCACTGAATCTGTATCAAAAGCACTTATTACTGGTTGTTTGACCTTGTCTGTTTCACAGACTATCTTTATTTTCTTTTGTTTGATAGCTAGTGGTTAAAATATTGGCCTTTTGAGGCTGAAATTTCATGCCGGTTTTAATAAGTAAAGTAAATAACTTTGCATCAGATCATACTGTCTACATATATAGTTGAAAGTGACAGTCTTGTTACATCCAGGTTCCATGTTTTATCATATCTGAGCAAAGATTAGAGCAAAAAGAAGCATATCTCCATCTCCCATATCATTTATATGCTTTTTAATATGCAAAAGTGGGGAACGACCTAAATTGACAACCTGTTTTTTTAAGCTTGACATTGCTGAAGACCATTTTATTCACATGTGTTATGCTATTTGAAACTTATATTTCCATTAAAAGTACATTTATAACATGTAAAAGGTTTTTTTATAACTTAGCAACTTCAGAAAATTGTGGTAAGTGAAAAATATTAGATTTCATATAAGGCCTCACTTCATTTGAAAACCTCTATTTTTTGTCACAGGCCCATATGAAATTTACTTCTGGCCATTTTTTATAAGTCTGAAACATGAAGTATGCTATCTGTTGCTTTTAATAGGTGATAACTTATACATAGAGACATTAAAAAGTGTAAGTTTTGGTATATTTTGGTTTTTGGAAGCCCAAATTTGATAGTTGAAATTATTCTAATTCAACGCCACAATTCAGCACCCAAAGTTCAGATATATAAAATGCCACAATTTTTATAATTGGTATCATATGGCTTTGAAACTTTGTAAACTGTTTCATAATACACTAAGCTTAAATCATGCCAAGTTTTATTAGAATTGGTCAAGGTTTAGACCACTAATAGGCCAAAGACCACAATTAATGATCCCGCTTTTTGTTGTCCACGAATATAGTTCCTTTTAATTAGAGTGTATTTTTTCTAAAAAAAATTTCTTTCCCTTCCTCACTCATTTCTTAGATTTATTTGGATGGAAATGAAAGAAGAGAGGTGAAATAAACTTTTGGATGTTGTATTTTAACTGATTTTGATATGGAAAGAGTGATTAGGCCAGGTGCAAAAAGGTGATATTTACAGTTTTCGGAACATCTCTTGACTTGTCCATAGGGCTATGGATGTGTATTAGCTAAATTTGTAAGATGCTGGGGAGCGATATTTCTGAATGTTTGATATATGTTTGGACTAGTACTGTACTTTACACACACAAAATATTTGACAAAAAGAACCGGTGCATTTTTTTTTAATGAAACAAAACGTTATAAAGAACTAATAGAGAATTTAATTGTGGTCTGTGGCCATATTCTAGAGTCGTATTTAATAAAGCGCACACTTGATCAAGCGTCTCCATGAAGGGTAATAGAGTAAATTAACACCCTCGTATTAGCCAATCAAAATATGACACTTTAACGTGAAGTATAATAATAATATAAGATGGTAATATACGAAGATGATGTTATAAAATCGTTTTGACAAATATTTCGGCTTAACAAATAGCCTTCTTCAGTGTCATTAATTTTAACAATACTGTCAACATTTTTTAAATTATTGACACTGACGAAGCCTATTTGTTAAGCCGAAATATTTGTCGACACGATTTTATAACATCATCTTCGTATATTACCATCTTATATTAGTACCGTTGTGCAAATCTTTAGACTTATATATATATATATATTTGTTGTGTACAAATTGTAATGTTGATCAAATTATAATTTGTACAGAATTTTTGTACAAGTTATCAGTGTTTTATGAACCGCTTAGCACAAATGGATGCTACAAGCACACAGACTTTTGTTTCTCATATTTCTGTCATATTTCCACGACTACATGATACAGTCTAATATTGAGCATTGATACAAAACATTATATGAACACAAAAAGGCATTTCATGGATATGATTTTGGTATAAAGAGAAAAATAAAAATTGAATTTAAAACATTCAAGTGTCCTTATTTCCAAATTTAGGACAAGGAGAATAGCACTGAATGTTGAAGTATATAAATTTGAATTGAAGACATTAAGCTGATAAATTTTAAAAGATAAACTTTTATCACCTGGTGCAAAAAGGTATGTGTCTAAAAATTTATAACTTGTACAAAACCTCTGTACAAATTTTAATTTGTACAAACTTGCATCTTGTACACAACATATATATATATATATATATATATATATATACAAGTCTAAATTGAAAACAACGTTCAAACCTATGATTGCGTTGGATAAAAACCGCAATTTTTATACGTGTGCATGCAAAAACAAATTTCTTGTTAGAGGGGTCTAAATACAGCACAAACAACATTTTCCAAAAGACCAAAAAAGTGAAAAAGTATATTTTAACAAAACGCATTTGACTAACAGGTTGAACAACAAATGTTCTTAAACCCTGCTGACTGCCATTGGCGATTGCCAAATAAACGGATCACAAGGTGTAATAAATGGATCTTAATTAAAAATTTAATACCAAACAGAAAACAATAAACTTGCGGCAAAGATGGTATACCGCAAACGAAGGTGCAAAGATTTTTGTACACCATATCCGGATTTCGACAATTAATGTCTCTTCAGTGATGTTAGGAATCGAAACAGTATTCGGAAGGCCATGTAATTTACCTCAATTTAGGAGATATATATATATATTAGATTGCTGACAAATAACAAATACATTGTGTATTTAATAATAATATAACATCTTCACACGCTTAAAACACATGTCTTATGTCTATCTCTAGATTCGCCTTACGTGACAAGGTAACACTACGACTATTGAAGTTATATTTTTATATAGCGGATGTGGTCGTGTGGTCTAGAGCGCTGGACATGAGGCTAAGCGATTGGTGCTGTAGTGTATCAAAGGTGTGAGTTCGAATCCCGTTGAGGGACAAAAATTTGTCAGCATAAAAGTCTAATTCTAACACTGTTGGGTGTAATTTTCAGACTTATATATATATATATATATATACAAGTCTAAATTGAAAACAACGTCCAATCCTATGATTGCGTTGGATAAAAACCGCAATTTTTATACGTGTGCATGTAAAACAAATTTCTTGGTAGAGGGGTCTAAATACAGCACAAACAACATTTTCCAAAAGACCAAAATAGTGAAAAAGTATATTTTAACAAAACGCATTTGACTAACAGGTCGAACAACGGATGTTCTTAAACCCTGCTGACCGCCATTGGCGATTGCCAAATAAATTGATCACCAGTACAAAATGGATCTTAATATTAATTTAATACCAAATATTAATTTAATACCAAACAGAAAACAATAAACTTGTGGAAAAGATGGTTTAACACAAACATGAGGTGCAAATATTTTATACACCATATCCGGATTTCGACAACTAATGTCTCTTCAGTGATGTTAGGGATCGAAACGGTATTTGGATCCCTAACATTATATATATATAAACTACAAAACGTTCGAATTGCAAATTGATTTATATTTATAGCTAAATCAGACATAGTTTACGTGTTTTAAAACAGTTGATTAACGTTTTTACCTACAATAGATGCAAAGAAAATAACACAGGCTGCACAGATGATAAACAGTGCACAAACGAAAAGTCTGTCAACAACAGTACGAAATTATACAGCTTATAATACAACGCAGCTATTGCATATAATGCGCTTTCCCAATATATAAAGAAATAAAAGAAAAAGAAAAGATTTAAAAGTTTTAATCGCAAACTTTTACATCAAATACGCCGGATATGTAAGCTTAATTCTATATATTACAAATGTGGTGTAACTACTAGTAACGCCAGTGTTGTTTTCCATCATAAAACAGCTGAAAATAAATTGCATATTTCACATCCTCATTACTTAATATGTGTTTGTTGTAACGAAATTAACTGAATATATATGTATGCTTTAGTGTATGGGGACGTTTGTGTTTGTATGTGCAATATATTTTTATTTTTATTGTTTCAGCTACAACAGCAGACGAATTGACAATATCGTTGGTATTAAATATATCTGGTAAGTTCAAGTGTAAAAGATCATCTAACTCACCAATAAGGGAGAGGCGAAATATACCAGAGGGACATTCAAACTTATAAGTCGAAAATAAACTGACAACGCCATGGCTAAAAAAGAAAAAAAATCAGACAAACAATTATAGTACACAAAACACAACATAGATAATTAAAGACTGAGCAGCACGAACCCCACCAAAAACTGGGGGTGATATCAGGTGCTCCGGAAGGGTAAGCAGATCCTGCTCCACATGTGGCACAAGTCGTGTTGCTCATATTAGTAAAAATCCGATAATAAGTCTAATTCGGTAGGTCACATTCGGGAAAAGGGGACTGTAATGTAGTTACGACATTAGAAACATATCCGCTATCATCTGTGAAACGGATATTCCATAACGGTCAACCAATCCGTGTTGGCGTTCGTAAAACTACGAAGGGATGATTTCAATTTCACCAACTGGAACTCCTGGTTTAAAAGCTTCCTTGTGAGCAGCAACCCTCTATCAAGGAAATCATGATAGGAAATTCAAGCCTTGGAATATCGAATCAACTGGGACCTATACATCATATGCAGGCGCTGCTGGAATGTTGTTACATAGAAATCAGTGGAAAGTTCACAATTGGGAAGCTATAATAAGTGTTGACAGTGAAACAATAGAGAAGAAATCAGTAAAAAAGCTTTTAAAATACAAAATGTACTTTGGGTAAACGAAACAGAATTATATATATATAAAAAAATCTTTAAAAAAAAAACACTTAATGGTAGCAATATCTGACGTTGCGTCAGTCTTCTGTAAGATAACATAAAGTATAAAAATGTTCCCTTTTTTGGTTTTACAGTTTGTTTTAAAAAGAAAATTAATCCTTAGATGCAAATATGAAAGCATATGAACCGTATTCATCAAAATGAGGAGACAAGCCTGCGATTAGTATATTATTATACATTACTTTCTTATGCACAATACCAATGAGCTCATTTCCAATGGTGAAAACTGAATTATTCTTCCATTATTTATTTGAAGAAATTTTCGTACCACAAGTTACTGTCTATAAGATGTGTCTGTTTCCAAGGTCTCATCAATTCAATATACATAATTTATCCTGGTATATAAAAATGTATAAACAGGTGAATGACATTTATAGAGTGAATGACATTTAAAAAAATTCTTAGTAAACGACTTTAATGCAACCAACATACATGCGGCTATATTATGGAACAGTTGAAAGCTTATAATCTGTACTTGCCAGGTCGTCAATTTAATTTCCGTCAAATTTCAAGAATAGATATTCCTAAATTGTGCAGTGGACCTTATAGAACAGAGAACATTTATTCCGAATCAAACGCAAATAAAGAGCATAATTGCACAATATTACCAGAAAATGCCATTATAGCAGAAGAAATCCTAAAGTGATAAGAAAGTTGTAAAAGCAAATATGTTGTGGGGTATCAGTATTTATATGCTCATTGGTGAAATACATTTTTTTGTTTATAGCTATGTCCAGGGCATTTAATTTCGTCGTTTTAAACTGCAATTACATTGTTCTGGAAACATCATTCAATTGAAGCGTTTACAGTTGTCCATCTGCAAAATTTTGCTTCTCTTTGTTTATATACATGTAGAACATCGATGGTTGACACTATCATGAAGAAACTACGTTCCCGTAATAAGAGAAGGGGTAGTACAAGTGCGTAAAGGAATAGACGTTGCGCACGGTATCGGTGCTTCTTTGAAAAAATGCGTTAGATAGCGGGTTAATCCAATTCACGCTCTTTTCCTACACAATATATATCCATGATCAGTATATCATTCGAAAGGAAATAAACCACAGAAATCAATAAAATAGATGAATTTGTGCTATTTATATCATGTAAAGAAAACCTTTGCTCATTTCGACGGCTATAACGTCATTTTAAGGGTGTCCCGCTGTTACAATTTTGTTTTGTTTGTGTCTTTGAAATCACAATGCGGACTAGTTCGTAAGTTAAATGAGATAACATTTTACAACAGTATTGTATACAATTGATGAAAAATAGCGTCATAAACGTTTTTAACTGTGAGTGAAAGAAGATTGTCAGGAGCGTTGAGCTTAGGAAGAGAAAAAATGTCCCATTCAGCTGCTCAGCTCCTATGAAAACTTTCGGCCTCCACTATTACAAGATATAACAGATGAAAGTGGCTTTTAATATTATCAGAAAATTTATACATGTCCTAAAGAAGCTTTATGAAGTCATCACTATATAACTGCAGTCTTACTTTCAAAACATCGTCAGTTTTCCCGTGTCCAATAAAATGTCCCGATGGATAAAATGACGCATAGAGTAACCCGGAGGCTGTTTATTAAACGAAATTTTATTTGATCCCCAATTTTGAACACTCTTTAACCGATATGAACGGAAAATACATTTCATTTCTTCTAAAATGATGTGATATATATTTTTGTTTGAGCTGCAGGTATAAAATACGAAACGAACTTAGATGTCCAATAACATGTCCCCATAACTGTAATTTGACGTTCACGTCATGATAACGCTTAATATTTTGCATATTTGGCATACAATTAATCTTATGAAATGATCTGATCTATATTAAATAAAGTTCTTGTTTAAATATGCATCAAAGTAGATCTACATTGTATAAATAATTCAAATATGACGAAATATTTAACTCGGATGCTTGACAAAGACCAGGCTCCGAGGCCAAAAATGTGAGACAAGTTCACATACGATCCCAGTCTCACTTTTAGAAAAAGAACATACAGTAAAAATGAAAATGCATCCAAAAATGGGCTCACCTTATTGTTTTCCCTTAGCCAGATTATAAACGACTCAAACCCAAGCTTTACACCCTGACCTTAATTCCTAGCGTTGCAATTAAAGAATCGGAACTATATATGTGAATCAATTTTTCTAGTCAGTTTGCAGAGCCGGGATTTTGTTTTCGTACTTGTATTCTTAGCTCCATGTAGTAGTATAAATATAGAAATGTTTACTGTGAGTAGAACAATCTCTTATCATCTACCTAGCAACATATGTATGAAAAGGAAGGTCACAGTGTTACTTCTAGAAGTAATGTGTGGAATAATGGAGTTTGTTGTCTCGAATCTCCAACAGAATTTACTGCTACATAGGCATGCGATGGACGAGTATTAAAATGTTAATTGAAACTTGTCTTTTACATTAATTTGAGTGTTAGGGTAATAGTTGTCCGATGAATATGATGGATTGCACGCAACTATGTATGTAGCAGGTCCAGTGTAATAATTTAAAGACACTCCCAAGTACATTTTAACCTAGTTTAAGTTCCCTTTAGAAAAAAGTCACCATGCACTCTACCCCATATCTTCCAAAAAAAACAAACCTATCCATATTTCTTGAAAGTGTATATTTTGTGGGAAGTACAGCATTGTTTGCATGCATAACCAATTTATAGAAATACTAAAGAAAGAATATTAAATACAATAAATATACTGCATTGAACACGCTGTATGTGTAACAAATTGACACCATAGTTCCTTTTTTATCACTAAATCAACTACAAAATGTCTGCTGTGTGTATCGGCGGTTCTCTCTGAGCACTTCGGCTTCCTTCAACAATAAAAATTGACCGCCACGAAATAGCCAATCGTGCTGAATTTGGCGTTAAACACAAATAAATCAATCAACCAATCTGCTGTGTGGAAAAGTTCATTTTTGTGTATAGTAGATTTATTTTTTCTCTTCGCAAAACGTCACAAAAATGGCTGGAATATTGCCTTTATACTTGTTAAAAAATCAAAATCACTCAAAACCGAAACCCGAAACCCGTAACTTGATAACCCGTTTGAAAACGGTCTAAAAATGTCAAAGAAAATTAAGTGTTAACCAATACCCAGTTATATTTTAAAATTGGAAGCGCTAAAAAACCCAATTCATAGTATAAAACGTACATGAAATGCACTCCTGGTCCATAGTACTTCCTTTCAGAAAACATTGATCCATGTATATTTACGAAAGCAGCTACTTAAATAATATATATCTTGTCACAACAAATTGAGTATATTTTTTTAAAATCGGTTTCACTCTGCTGTTGGTCAAATATCAGTTGATGTAGCTTTATTTGGGTCCATATAAAAAGGGGTAGAGTTTTTCATACTTTGCCAAAATGCTATAATTTCAAAAACATAGTAAAAAGTATGGATCGCCGACCTTTTTTTAGAGCTTTTAAAAGTTTGTGGAAAATGTTCAGATTTTGTAAGGATTATACACGGGAAATGTAAATTTATGCGAATATAAAGAAAACTAAAAGATAGAGTTTTAAATAATATATATATATGAGAAGACAGCTCTTATAATGTGCTCTCCGAAAGCAAAAAATAAAACACGGAATCCCCATATTCGTTTTCTTACTTCATCACAAAATAGGTAAATGTTTTGTAAATTCCTTTATAAAATAAATTATAAACATTCTGGATTATATACCTGATAAAACAACCATGATTTAAAAATTTCAATCAATGAAACCTTTTTTTTTAAATGAAAAAGATGTAACCATAAAATAAGCTCATTATTTATTCTTTTCAAAGAAAATTTCACAAATTAATTTCATTTATTCATCATTCAATCTTGCTAACAATAATGGTAAAAATTTTAAATCGATTATTTGTAGTTTTCTGCAATAAAATAATTAATAATTTAAACCCCGTTCTACCTTCAAATATTGAAAATCAACAATGGCAGCACAAGTACACGTATTTCTATTTCATACGTGATGCATATTCCATAAAGTTTTTCCTAAGGGATTTATCAAAAAATATTGCCAATTTTAAACAATTTCCACAAAATTGTTATTGATGTCAAAATCGTGAACTAATACGCATATGATGATGATTCATCGAGTTAAACCGATAATATATGAAATATGAATTATAACACTAGTATAAGCGACTTTTATTTTTAGAAAAAAATGAATACAACGGACCTCTTAAAGTGGAGATAAAATGAGATTACAAAAAGAAAAATATCAGGCTATCGTCTATCAACATCTTTCAAATAATCAAATTAAGAAGCATTTGAATATTAGCTAAATTTTAAAAAGACAAATTGTGGGAGAGAAAATACCAACATCAACAACGTGACAAAAAGAAACTAATAATAAAAGGGAAGAAACAGAAACAAGAAACAAAGTATTAACAATTTTACTAGCCAAGATTGAAGAAGTTTTGCGGCACAAAGAACATTACTTAATTTTTAGAAAAAGAAGAAACTGATAATACAGATATATATGCACATAATATTTTGGAAGCACACTCTTCATAAGTGAAAAACGGTAGTGTCAGTTTTTCCCTGCATTTGTTTCGCTTATTGTATCAAAATCAGTTTTGAAGTTTCAAAACATTCTGGATTTTGAAAATGAAAGACGCTAAATAATATACAAAAAAAGATGTTAAATCTTCTCACATACAAATGATTCAAAACGTCAAATTGTTATTCAGTGCTAAACATTGCTGTTAGGGGCAATTTTTCATGAGTGTTTAAAATATTTTTTTTAAATTTGGATATCAATGTTTGTATTTATTAATGAAAAATGAAAATACATAATGAATCGAAGCGACTACGAAAATCTCTGCAAAATAAAGACTTCTTAAAAGAATGTAAATTCTATGGTTACTTAAAGTGGCATTTTCACATAAGTAAAAAACTTGTATGCTTGAAACGTTCTTTGAAACAACGTCAGCATCCTTGTTTTATTGGGACGTCGTGTAACGCTCAGTGGTACCAATACCGTGCGCAACGTCATACGCTATCTACATACAATCAAGTATGTTTTTTTTTTAGGTCGAACTTTTTTAACCTTTGAGAATTATGTTGAAATGCAATATATCCTTGCTCCTAATTATGTTGCTGAATTAAAATCAGATATGTTTAGGTTAAAGATTTATGGAATCCAAATAATTTGTATTTGGGAAAGATGCTAACTTTGCAAACGATTTGAAAAATAACACGAATATAATAAACTTTATTTCTCTAATATTTTAACCTAAGCAAGAAAACCGCCAAAAATCGACCCGAACAAAAACTAGAGAGTAAAGTTTTAGCGCTAAGAATAATTCTGCAAAATTAATTTGGTTGAAATGACATGAAATCAATAAAGAGCTCATTTATATACTCCAACGATGTAATTTGTGCAATCAAACTGCATTAAAAGTACAAACGTTTGATCAGTTTTGAGATTTGCAGTATAATACAATAAAAACATTCTATCTGTTTCTTAGCCGTTTACAAATAACCTGTATACAGATATATCGAGATGATGTATAGTTCTTTGATACGTTATACAGCCAAAAAGTTCTTTAATTAGAGCTGTTTATATATTTTACCTTATGGTTTTCTTCATTGTAACCGTATATATTCTGATTATACTTATATCACCGTTCAAAAAATGAAAACAAGACATCATAAATTGCATGCGTCCGAAGCGCTTTTTTGGGTTTACCTTCATCAGGAAACGCTCAAAGCCGAATATTTGAAGGCCAATGATGTATAAGAACCGAAACAGTTGAAGAGCTATATTACCAAAAAGGGCCTATATCAATATGCCAATTGCCAAACACTATACAGCAGATGACCTTTCAGAAGAAACTAAGAAACTTACTATTTTAAATGAGATTTCTATGTAGCACATCATCCTATCATAGTAATGTAAATTCATGGCCAAATAAACTACTCATAAAAAGTTTTGCAACACTTCCATTGAAATTAATGGGGATCAAACTTTCAGGACTCATTTGTTTATAGGAAATGCTCAAAATGATCTGAAATTACCAGCATTCCCGTTTTAAAAGATGTTGAGTTGATTAAAGATTTAAACAGAAAAAATATGATAACAACTTTGGGGAGGGTGTTTATTTTTATTTTCATTTTTTATGCGAGGGAAATGTTTCTATTCATAATCAATCGATTATGCGATCAGATTCCCCACTTCGTTACACATTTTGTTACTAGACTATGTGCAAAAATTTGTTAAAATTGTTAAACACTGCACATTTCCTTTTATTTATTTACATTGATAAGTGGTGCCTTATTTCAACTCTAAAGCAAACCTAAATAAACATTATGCAGACACCGTTTGTTTTGTATGGATACAAGGACAAAGAAACCTCTATGTGCTCCACAATTTTCTATAACGTAAATACGGTATGAGTTTTGCTCGTTGTCGTACATTGGTGGTCATACGGTTACCTACAGTTGCTTATTTGAACTCTAAGGGATAGTTGTCTCATTGGTTACCGTACAACATCTCAGTGTCCTTACATTGTTACTTGTGAACACGATATTTGACTTCTTTTGTTGTGGCATGGTGGCGCACGATCTTCTTTAACGTATAATTAATGAAGGAAAGATATTTTTTTTTTATTTCAGAAATTACGCCCAGCTGTCATTGTCCTTGTTCTGATTTAAGACAGCAAACTGACAAGTTTTGGGCATCTTTGTATGGTTATTCCAAATCGGAATTAGAGCAAATCCTCGAACCGATACTTTTGAAGACAAAAGATGACTTGAAGTTAAACAAAACAAAACTATCATCGTACAAACGAAAAAGGAATAGTGCCCAAGATAGAAGGAAATCTTCAGAGCAGATTGGAATCATGGGAGTGATTTTTATCGGTGTTGTTCTAAGTTTAGTCATCCTTATTGATATTGTAGAAATTAGGCGACGTCTAGCTGGCATTAACATTTCTATTTAAAACGACACTTAAAACAATACGCACATATTTTTAATGAAAATCCTATTGTTATAAGATTTATGAACTTTCAGCTAGCTCACATATTATAAAAAAAAAATCAGTTAAATATGATTTTTAGGTCATATTTTAGTTGATTCGCTATTTTTAAGTTTGTTTGTTTGAGGGTCAGTTTTAGCAATTATCTTGAATTGGCAATCCTCATTAACCTTTATAGGAAAGGCATTACGCGAACTGTGTTTCTCCATTGTGACTGTGGCTGTTAGTGTTAGTTAAATGGCAATATTCCATTTATCAGTAAAATAACGAAAAATAAAATAATTTCCTGGTGCTTTTCCTTGATTTTGAAGAAATGAATGTTCAAGGTTTGAAAAATACCATGATGGTTTGACAAAGATTGAAGAAGACCAACTCTTCCAAAGATCCGCTAAAAATAAGATGCTCCGAAATTGTCTGAATCAAATGAAATTTATGCTCAAGCATTTTCAATTTTCAGTCTATGTTGGAATATGTAATTGTCCTTTATCTTATCAATTTCGAACAAATTCCATTACAATGTAATGATCTTTAAATATAGTTATACAAAGCCGGACACTGCAGGTAGAATCGAAATCATTCCTACAATTAGCCGCCCGAGGATCAATATGTGCGAACTTCAGACCTCTTGAAAAATTGACAATGCAGATGACAAATTGACAAAGATCAAATTAAGTTTTTCCATTTCATTTTTATTTTATTGCGAATATGTTGATATGTTTTATATTTATAACTTGTTCTCTTCCGGCACGAAAAGGGAAACAGTGATCTTGATTTTTCCACAATGATGCGTGTAAATACAAATACGCCAATTAGACGAGACTAACATTAATTACATATTTGTATATGTACTGGTGAAACCTGTTTCATAAGCATAACATTGTGTCATTTATTCACTAATCCCTGTTTTCCTCCTTGTGTAACATCTGTTTCAAACTATATGAGGTATTCTCGTTTATTTTTTTTCTTAAGTTTTTATAGTATTTGTTTATAATCAATATCTTTAAATAAGTTTCAAATACATTAAAATAAATATATCAAATAGGTTTGAATCAACGTGCAAGTTCAAAGCATGTTTTGACTAGGTTTATTGATACTTGTTGTTATTAATCCGTTATGTATAATACAAAATATTTTGTTTTACTTTTCTAAAATTTGGAGTGTTGTAGACCTGGTGGTATGGATGAACTCTAGGTAGTTCATCTAGAATGATCACTATCCTGTCAACTCTGAGGTGGTGAGTTTGAACCTTCGTAATGAGGTGTTTTGACCCCGATTTAAATTGACAAGCATTGCTAGTTTTCTTTAACTTATATGGTGACCCATTTTTTCATTCATGAGAATCGAAATAAAAAGAATAATAATTATCATTTGTATTTCTTGTGCATTAGACGATCCGACACCAAAATTCTAAATTGATAATGGCTATCTTATCTCTAATTTCAAAACTGCTTACAGAGGAAAGATATGTCCCACTGTTACGGTTCGAGTCGTGTATGGCTTTTGCATAAGGATTGTACCTGAAACTGTTGATTGTTAGCAACATTTACATTTGTCAGTTTATTAGAATATCGATCTAGGCGGCCTTTTACATAGTAGTATCCGAATTTTTACAGTAAGTTCTTAAATAAAGAAAACGGATCAATAAAAGTCATGAGTAGAAATTGACTTAAAATCAATGATTATTTACTGGATCTATATCCTTAACAACGTAGGCTATAAAATTTCAAAATTGGATATATTTTTTTATCTGATTTGCGTTTATTTTCCTTTAAAAAATTTAATATTGTTGAGATACTTATGTTGTAAATCAAACCTGTCCAAACAGAACACAGAAAAGTCGTTTGAAAAGGGAAATCGTTCAATAGCCTTACGGACATGTCGTGTTGGGGACATTTACTGATTACCCAAAAGATGATTCATAAAGAAATGTTTGCATTTTTTTCCATTGTTTCAACTGAGTTAGACCTGGAACTAGCTAGGATAGAAACGTTGTTTTTTTTTAATATTCTCCAAAACCTGTTTTAAAGATCTGTGAATTAAACAACAAGACAAACAAATAGCACACATATTTTCTTTCTGGTGATACATCTGTTTCAAATAGTATAAGGTATTTGAGTTTACATTTTTTAGTAACTGACGTATTAACATGTAAACAATTACATTGCCTAGAAAAGTTGAAATAGATGGAGATATTTCAAACGAATTGAAACCAAATCATAATATTTAATAATGTTTCTATTAATTATGCTTGTTGTTATCAGTTCCATTACCGCTAAAGTAAATTTGAAACAATTTGTGAATTGCGTTATCAACAAAGATAATATAAAAATTAAAGAGCTTAAGAAAATTGGTGGACTCGGAATAAACGGTGTGTTTAAAAACTTCGATTCAATCGCAAAAAGGAGCAAAAAAAATACCATGATCAAACGACTAATGAAATTGTTATGAACTTAAAAACAGGATATGATATAACTGATGTTCAGGAAATACTAAACCGACATAAATCATTCTATTTCCTAAGACCGGTATGCATGCAATTTTTAATAGGCAGTTCATAAAGCCATTCCGTATCTGCAAGTACTCTCATATTTGTACTCTTAAGTGTTTATGACATTTTTGTGTGTGTTTTGTGTCGAGCTGATGAGTTAAGCCCTTTTAAACTGATTGGTATAGTTGTTATTATATTGTACTGTCACACCGCTGTCCCAGTCTATGGGCAGGATATGGCGCCCGTAATCATGTTCAACCCCTCCACATTCAGGAAGTGCCTGCCCTAAGTCTGGTGCCTGTGATTCAGTGGTTATCGTTTGTTTTGTATATCATATTTATTTTCCTTTTATTGTTTTGTACATAAGTCAGGCCGTTAGTTTTCTCTGTTAAATTATTTAACATATGTCATGTCAGGACCTTTTTAAGCTTTCTATACGGTATGGGTTTTTGATGAAGGTCATACGGTTACCAATAGTTGCTAGCATCTACGTCATGTGGTCTCTGGTGGATAGTTGTCTCACTGGCAATATACCACACCACCTTATCTTATATTTGTATCTCACTTTCTGCATGACAATGTATTAGGTTAAGGCAGACATCGAAATTGTTTTAATTTTATTACATTTTTTCCAAAGTGGTATTACACACAGCAAAATTGATGCATTTATAAATATATAAAGGTATGGCCAAAAACATAAAATAAAGACTAAAAAAACGATCAGCAAGCCAAGATCTACAATTAAGACTATATTGAGGAAATCGTCCGACTACTCCTTATTGGAATTATTGCACTTTAATGACGATTTTTACCAATTTAATTTTAGTTTGCCTTACATGATGAAAATTATAATAAATAACTAGACACTTTAAATCACAAAAATGATCAGCAAGGCAAGAACTATTAACAATTCAAATTTTGCCGATATAGGTAGCAGACTGTCACTCTTTATAGGAGTGATTGCCGTTACATGAGGATTTTTTTTTTTTGCCCTCTTTTGTGTTTTGAGCGAAGAAAGAGAGAAACTAAACAGACTAAATGATCAGTAATACAAGCTCAACAAAACAGAGATTTTGGTCATGCATGCTATTCTCGTCTACAATGTTGGAGAGTGTCCTTTGTTGAATATGCACATAGACCAAGGTGAGCGACACAGACTCTTTAGAGCCTCTAGGTTTAGACAGATTAACGACATCAAAACAGGATCTATAACAAACGCGGCGATTTCAGTTTCCGAGTGTCAATTTTCAATTTCTCAGTAGTAGTATATTCTCTGACTTATCGTATGCGTTTATATTTGTCAATTGGTATTGCACACACATGTATGTTCACTTTACACGGACGTTGTTAGCAGTAGTGGGTTCCTATTGTATAGCAGGTAGTTATGATGAGAGACTAAAATTAAAAACTACTTTACCACTAATCGGTTTACCAATATTATATGTATCAGTGTCACGAGATATCTATTTTTGAGGTTTTAGATCTTAAGATACTAGAATAGATGTCTACAATATACATTAACCATTTTTTTTGTATCCTGCTTTGCAATTACAAAATCGATTAACAAGATTCAAACATAGGAGGGACTGAAGCTTCATATTCAACTGGTTCATTTCCAAAGAAAACTAGTCCTTTCAAAACCTTAGCTTTTTTTTCTTTTATAAGTTAGTTGGATATACATTGAAAGACTTAAAGGAATACGTCTCATTAAGGCAACAGTAGTTTACCAATTAAACAATCTCGTAAATCGACTAAAAAGAGACATGTCAAGGTAACAAAAATAACTGAGGGAATTGCATGAACTCCAAAAGGAGCAAGACCGCATGCGTCAACACAGAAAAAAGCTCATCCAAGATAAACGTCTGCTAATTATGCATCATCAACCATGAGAATCGACATTCAGTTAAGATGTCACAATTGGGTATACGACACAATCGGCAAAATTACAGATCATACGACTATACTGGTATCTGAAATTCTGAGACCGAGGAAACATGCTGTAAGTGAGTTGAAACATCGAAACAACCAACCAATTCGTGATGGTAAACACAAACTAATGTAGTGTAAATTTCATTTGTTTTCCTCATAACTCTTTCGAGCAGTTTGTGTAAGGTGCACAACAACCATGTAAACGAAGCCCACAAAGTGTGGTCATGCACGAACGTGATGTATTAACTGAGATATGTAAACGCCATACTGCGGAACAGAGGATATGTTACTGGTGACAACTGGTTTTTTTATAATGTACTTATTCTTTAAACAGTCCTCTGTGGCTGATACATTACATTGCGGTTTTTTTTTAATGTCAATTGGGCATGAATTATTTAGTGCAGTTTCTGTGATAATATCGATCAAAATCAACATGAATCGACTGCTCGATACAATCTGATGAAATAACAGATCGCGTAGATACGCTATGTTTACAATGATCTGGTGTGATCTTTGATGATTTATGTTTCTTATTAGGATATCGTTGAGAATTGCTGCTTACATGGAAGATTTTGAACCGAATGTTTGTAATGGTAGGATTGGAAGATATAACAGACAAATTCAGATAATTTGATTTGTTCATAATAAAATTATTGCACAGAGTATACATTAAATGTATCTACATACGTTTTACAGGATGAGGAATATATTTTAACCAACCAACACGATAAAGGTTTTGGAGGCAAACAGTTTAACATATGAATAAACACCGATTTAGGGTATACGTCAATGGCACAGACACCCAACTAAACAAATTAGATGAGAAAACTCCGAACTCCTTAACAAACTGGCTTAAACTGTAAAAACATGTCTATCTAATACAAGTGATATCAAAGAAACTTAATGGAAAACCTTAAGAAAATCTTGATTTGGCAAATAGTCCACCATATACCAGCATTTTATGATACAACAACATATTATATAACTTAAAGGGCACCAAACAGCGAAATTAATGAGATATTGAGGTAATTAACTACTTATCTTTGTTTGAGTTATGCATGGTGGTATCAATTTTATGTAGAATATACGTATTCGTTTCAAAAGGAGTAAAAATCCTAGGCAGTGTATTAACAGTATATTAAGATGGAGAGAGGCCAGACTTTTTTTTAATTTGATCTCAAATTTCTATTTCTCAACCTTTTCTACTAATACATAAATGACGTTTCCCAAGATTCGTACCTCACCTTTAACCAATGTTTTGAACACACACAACATATCAATACAGACTGCTGTTGAACAATTTCACAGTGATCAGAAAACAATTTCTCACAAAACATAATTTTTTTACATAGAGAAACAAGTTGAGCTCATAAGGGCTTTATGACATTATGAGATTGTTTAATATTTAAGAAAACGCGTACAAGTTTATCATAAAATTTTTGAAAATTTTAACGATAGCTGAATAATTTACGAGCAACTCTTGATGACATTTAACCTTTATATTTCTAAATGAGA